TCCCCAGACGGTGGCCTTCCCTCGGTGCCTGGCCCCGCGGGTGGAGAACACTCGTGCAGGGACCTCTGGGAATGGAACACTTGGAGGGCGGGTTGATTGCAACATTGTTGACGCGTCTTGGATTTGCATTGGTCGTACACCCTGCGAAATGCTTAAGAAATCATGGGTTAAGAAATTCATAGTCTCAGAAATAGAATAAAACCTAGAACTTCTATCAAAATCTTGGGATTCACATTGAAAAGTTAAGAATAATCGAGAATCTGGACGAAAATTTAGGTTTTCTTGAGCATCGCCTAAGGTGTAGGTACTCCTCCTGCTGCTGCGGGCGGCCCAGGGGCGGGCGCGAAGGAGGCGCCCCCGGGCGGGCGCCCCGCGACACCCTGGCAGACCCGCCCAGCGCGCGGTGGAGGGCTTCTCCGAGGGGCTTGGGCGACCCGCCCTCCTCCTCCTCCTCCTCCTCCTCCTCCTCCTCCTCCTCCTCCTCCTCCTCCTCCTCCTCCTCCTCCTCCTCCCCTCCTCCTCCCTCCTCCTCCTCCTCCTCCTCCTCCCTCCTCCCTCCTCCTCCTCCTCCTCCTCCTCCTCCTCCTCCTCCTCCTCCTCCTCCTCCTCCTCCTCCTCCTCCTCCTCCTCCTCCTCCCTCCTCCTCCTCCTCCTCCTCCTCCTTCCTCCTCCTCCTCCTCCTCCTCCTCCTCCTCCCCCTCCCCTCTCCTCCTCCTCCCCCTCCTCCTCCTCCTCCCCTCCTCCTCCTCCTCCTCCTCCTCCTCCTCCTCCTTCCTCCTCCTTCCTCCTCCTCCTCCTCCTCCTCCTCCTCCTCCTCCTCCTCCTCCTCCTCCTCCTCCTCCCTCCTCCCTCCTCTTGCCTCCTCCGTCCCCCTCTGCTTCCTGCCTCTCCTTCTCCTTCTCCAGCCCCCCTTCTGCGTCCTGCTTGTGGGCAGCCGCGTCCACCTGGTACAGCTGGTTACTCCCCGAGCCCGGCGGCTTCCATCTCCCCACTTCTCCTGCTCCTGCTCCTCCTCCTTCTCCTCCTCCTCCTCCTCTTCCACTTTCTCGCAAATGGTGGCGCGCCGCACGTCAGCGCGTGAACGCGTCGGAGGCCTCGGCGCTCCCACGCGCCTTGCCAGACCAGCCCAGCGGGCCCGGATGGGGACGCCAACCACAACCCTCCCCTCAGTTCCGAAGGTCCTAATGATGGGAACGGGCCCTGAAAAAATCAAAAAGATACCGATACCGCTGCTCCCTACCGCTACTCCCTACTCGCCGATACCGCTACTCCCTACAGCTACTCTCCGGGTGCGTTCTGATCAGACTTCCGAGGCGAATCCAGCGCTAGGTCGGGCATGTCCCCCTGCATGCGGATTTTGAGCGAAACATAAACATAACAAAAACCATACAAACATATACCAAAATATTTCAAACATCGTCCCCAGACTATTTCTTGACTATTTTTGAATATCCCTCATGTAGAGGGACACGCCTGACTTAAATCCAGCGGTGGCGACGAGGGCCTCTCAGGAGGCCCAAAAAGGCGATTACGAGAGAATGCTAGCGATATCGGGACCATTGTTGAGCATTGTTTTACTTTTTGATTTTTCGTCCAGAATCCCCCTGTAGGAGGACACGCCCGACCTAGAGGACCCGCTTGTTTCATGCAGGGGAGGCGTAAGACTCGGGCTCGGCGGACTCGGGCTGGCCCGACGGGGACGTCAAGAAAATGATGAGACCCGGTCTCAAATCCGGAATGACGCCCGCTGCAAACATCCCACCAAAAACTGATCGCCCAGACCCTGGCCGGGTCCGTCAAAAGGCGTCGGCAAACCCGAGTCCCAGCGATCTCGAGTCTTCGAGCCGTGGTGCCACCGTCAGGGACGCCGGGTAAGAAACGACGGGGCTTCCCTGGCCACGGCGAGCCGCGGTCACAGCTAAGTCCCCAGGCCTGGACCTGCGCGAGGAGCGGCCCGCATGGTGCCGTGCTCTCTGCATCTTGGCTGCACGTGTACCCGATCATGGCGACCCTCTGCGGGCACCCCCCCCGCCCCACCCCCCTTCCGCCGGGAGCCGGCAGCTCTTCGGTGAGCATGGCGATCACGGGCGACAGCGCCTCAGTCATCGCCGCGGGCATCGCCTCGCGGCTGCGGGGCGCGCGCGGGCGAGGGGAGCCGCTGTGGTTCTCCCCCTCCTGCAGCTCCTCCCCCTCCTTCTCCTTCCTCCTGGTGTTTCTCCTCCTCCCTCCTCCCTCCTCCCTCCTCCCTCCTCCCTCCTCCCTCCTCCCTCCTCCTCCTCCTCCACCTCCTCCTCCTCCTCCTCCTCCTCCTCCTCCTTCCTTCTTCCTTCTCCTCCTCCTCCTCCTCCTCCTCCTCCTCCTCCTCCTCCTCCTCCTCCTCCTCCTCCTCCTCCCCTCCTCCTCCTCCTCCACCTCCTCCTCCTCCTCCTCCTCCTCCTCTTTGCTCCTCCTCTTCTTCCTCCTCCTCCTCCACCTCCTCCTCCTCCTCCTCCTCCTCTGTTGCACTGTTACACTGCTGTGTCACAAGTCCACTCTAGGAGCAGAGAGCGACAAACAAATATGGACGGGAGACTAAGGCGACGCTTACGGAGAAGAAGGAAGGCCGAGACGGAGGGAGGAAAGAGGGAAATAGGAGAACAAGCGTCGCCGAAGCCCCAAACCCAAAACCCCGCCTAGGCTGGTCCCGGGACAGGAAGGGTTCATTGCTGCTGGCAGTCGGCCTGCTGCGGGGGCCCGATGCCAGAAGCGTCTGCACTCGGCGGCGCCGTCGGGCCAGGATCAGAAGTCGCAGGGCTGCGGCGATGCACCGCCCTCTTGCGGCTCGACCCCGTGACTCCACGGCGATCCCGATATCCGCACGAGCCAGCACTCCGATCTTCGCCGTCAAGATCGCGAGCACCCTGGCGAAAAGATCCAGGGGCAAAACGACAAGGAGCTCCTCGATGGCTTTCCTCGTACACCTCCTCCACGACCCCGCCCGACGACACGAGGGAGGCGCCCTGGGTGCGTAGCTTCTCCGAGGGCCCCCTGTGCTCCAGGTACTGCTCCGCGAGCCGCCAGCCCGCCTCCAAGCCGTCCGCGAAGATGCGAGTCTCCGCATCGGGGCTGAGAGGCTGCCAGATGCCAGGAGCAGGCCAGCCCGAGCACTCGTCCTCCACGCCCTCGTCGATGGGGAAGGCGCAGGGAGGCTGAAATCCCAGCGCGTCCGTGCCAGGCACAGCCACGTTGAGCAGCTGACCATCCAGCACCTCTGCATGGACCTCGTGGGTGTGCATCTCCCCTAGCCGAGGCCCTGCAGCAGCCCATGCCAGGTCGGCCTCAGAGGCGGCTGCGAATCCCACCGCTGGGATGCGCGCCGCGTGAAGTGCGGCATTCCGGCGCCGCCGTCGCGCCCCAGGGACCCGGCGCCCGCTGGCCGCGAGCACCAGCGCCGGCCGCGCCGCCCGCTCCCGATCTTGCCAGGAGCCTGGGCGCGCCTCTGCCTCGGCCAGCTTGCGCAGGGCGTTCTCGCAAGCTTGCCTGCATCTCCGCCTGGCCCTTCTTCTCGCAGCCGATCTGCCCAGGGCGGCATCCTCCTGGGAGCGGAGCGAGCTAGGCCGCCACAGAAGCGGGCGGCCACCCGTAGCAGAAACCTTGGACCCCTCCGAGAGCTCCGCCATGGCCACAGGACGTGGCGAAGGGGAGATGGAGAGAGCCGCTCTCGAGCGCAGCAGCAGACGAGAGAGGCCAAGCAAGCACCTGCCTGCCTGGCGCCCAAGGCAGGCTTGAGCCAAAATGGCTACGGACTCCTCCTCCTCCTCCTCCTCCTCCTCCTCCTCCTCCTCCTCCTCCTCATCCCTCTTTCTGGGTTATGTCCCCCCTCCGTTTCCCTTGAAACAGGTCGCAGCTTCCGCTGTCCCAAGAGCACCTCCATCATCTCTGCTGCTGCTGCTGCTGCTGCTGCTGCTGCTGATGATCTTCCTCCTCCTCCTCCTCCTCCTCCTCCTCCTCCTCCTGCTCCTCCTGCTCCTCCTGCTCCTCCCCCGCGGGAGGGTTGCGGGATGGAGGGGGGGATCTGGCCGAGGGCGGGAGGAGCTACCTCCTCCTCCCTCCCTCCGCGGGACGGCATGGGGTATCTGGACAAGGGCAGGAGAAGCCAGACTGGCAGCAGGCAGATTTCAGTAAGCATCGTAGGTGGAAGGAAGAGAGGAAGGACGAAAGGAAGGACGGGAGGAAGGAAGAGAGGACGGAAGGAAGGAAGGAAAGAAGGCATGAAAGAAGGAAGGATATAGGTTGGTTGGTTGGTGAGGCCCCCCAGGGAGGTGGCGGAACAGGGAGGAAAAGTAGGAACCGATAAGAAAGAGCAAGGAAGGAAAGAGGACGGATGGAGGATGACGGAGGGAAGGAGGAGGAGGAGGCGGAGGAAGACCCGGTTCTCTGGATCCTGCCCTTGACAACGCCAGTCCTCGCTTTGCCTCGACACAATAAAATGACTCGACAAGCTCTGCTAGAACTTCCTTGGGAACGCCAGCCTTAGATAGTGGGCCCTTCCGGAGGTGCTCATAACACTTTACGTCCACTCGCCTGTCCGATCCGCATGCTATGTCCGGTTTTGCTGCTCCGTCACTCCTCATCTAACTCCTCAGACTCCTCCCATTCCTCTCCTTTCCTCCATGATTCGATCCATCAATGTTCCCCCTTGCATCATCATCATCATCATCATCATCATCATCATCATCAGCATCATCATCATCATCATCATCATCATCATCATCATCATCAGCATCATCATCATCATCATCGTCATCATCGTCATCATCATCATCATCATCATAATCATCATCATCATCAGCAGCATCAGCATCAGCATCAGCATCAGCATCAGCATCATCATCATCATCATCATCATCCCTTATCCTTAACTGCGCTCTCTGTCATTCCTTCTCCTCCTCCAACTCCTCAGCGTCACCTCCTCACCTTCGTCTTGTTGATTAGTTTCATTCTTCTCCTTTACCCCATCAGCCATCCTCCTCCTCCTCCTCTTCCCACATCCGCACTCTTCATCCTGCTCCGCATCCTCCTCCTCCTCCTCATCCTCCTCATCCTCCTCCGCCTACTTATGCACCTCCTCCTCATCTTCCCTCCTTCGCTAAGAGTGTTCCCCCGATGCGCGGCGAAGCGGCCTGTACGTCAGCCTGAGTCCCTGAGCACACACAGCGGGCCCTTCTGCCCCACCCCTCAATCCTTCTCCTTACTTTACCTCATCATCCCTTCTCCCCTCCTCCTCCTTCCTCCTCCTCCTCCTCCTCCTCCTCCTCCCCTCCTCCTCCTCCTCCTCCTCCTCCTCCTCCTCCTCCTCCTCCTCCTCCTCCTCCTCCTCCTCCCTCCTCCTCCTCCTCCTCCTCCTCCTCCTCCTTCCTCCTCCTCCTCCTCCTCCTCCTCCTCCTCCTCCTCCTCCCCACCACCAACACCATCAACAACGTAGTCAAAGTCATGATTACCATCATCATACCCATTCATCCATCATCACCACCATCAGCATCAGCATCAGCATCAGCATCAGCATCGGCATCATCATCATCATCATCATCAGCAGCAGCAGCAGCATCATCATCAACATCATCATCATCATCATCACCATCAGCAGCAGCATAACCATCAGCGCCGCCATCATAATCATCACCACCACCATCACCACCAACATCAGTAACGCCATCCTCATGATCAGCACCACCATCAACATCGAACCACCTCCACGCTGATGCGTCTCATCATCCCTCCTCCAACATCTGATCATCCTGCTCCCGCATTCCTCGTTCTCCCCCCCTTACTCTCCTCCTCCTCCTCCTCCTCATCCTCATCCTCCCTGTCCTCCTCCTCCTCCTCCTCCTCCTCCTCCTCCTCCTCCTCCTCCTCCTCCTCCTCCTCCTCCCTCTCGCCCTCCTCATCAATGCGCTTCCTTCTCCTGCCGCGCCACCCAAATCCCTAGGAGATTACAACACGAACCCGTGAGCACGCGGAACCGACACAAGCCACAACGTGTGTCGGACTATCCTCGGTGTCGGGGCAGAAGAGGGCTCGAGGGAGCAAACACCCCTCTACAGCCGAGAATCCTGCCCGTGGCGACACTTACAAGAGGAGGAGGAGGAGGCAGGGTGACGAAAGGACGGGGAGGACGACGACAACAAGGAGGGGGGAGGAAGACGAGGACGAGGACGCGGAGAGCCCATGCCAGGAACCAGAAAGTGGTCGAGCGGAGCAGATTGGGGGAGCAAGCAATGACATAGACATAAACATTCGGAGGTCCGCGCGAATTCCTCGGATCGGCACTGGGGTCCCCTGGCGGCGCCTCTGACGCCGCCCCTGGCGCGCTCCACGCGCCAGGCAGGGGGTCCAGCGCCGATTCGAGAAATCAGCGCGGACCTCCGAGTTCATATGCTTACGTCATTGTGTGGTCCCCGATGGGGTGGGCAGACTAGACCTCCCTTCAGCAGAACACTGTTCAGCGAGAAAGACCCTGGACCAGACCCAGCAGGCCCAGGCCCGCACACATGGCGGCCGCGACACCCTCACGAGAGCGGACGAGGGGCAGCTCGCTGATCGACTTGGGAGGGAGGGGTGTCTCTGCCGAACCTACCTCCGAACGCACAGCCCCCGACAGAGAGAGGCAGGATGAGGAGAGCGATCGAACGAGCGAGGCGCCCATCGCGACACGCGCGGCGACGGAGCCTCTCGACCAACAAAAAAATCACACGCACACGAAGTCCCATTCCCATTGCGTTGCAACTCTCCCTGTCCACCGACTGGGGTCTCCTAGAAGCCCTTGGTCTCCTCATGGCAGTTTCAAGATCTGACCATCAGAAGGGGAGTCCTGGTGGGATGGAGGAGGAGAGGCAGGCATCTGAGAAGGAGGAGGGCGAGCTGGGAGGGAGAGGTGGAGGAGCGGCACGAGCAAAGGAGCAGGAGCAGCAGGGGAAAGGTGGAGGGGGGAAGGGAGAGAGGGACGACGACGACGAGGGAGAGGTCGGATCCGGACGTGTGGCCCGCGCAGGCTCGCGAGCGCAACTCGGAACGCCTCCTCCTCCTCCTCCGCCTCCTCCTCCTCCTCCTCCTCCTCCTCCTCCCCGCTCTCTCTGTCGCGTCGCCCCCTCGTCGTCGTCCCCCCTCTTTGCCACAGGGCTCCTCCGCGCAGGCCAACAAAAAAGGTGTCTCCTCCGGCAGCTTCCCCGAGGCACGGGAGGCCCGGAGCGCGCTCCGTCCCGGCTCCCGGCGGCGGGAGCACGACTGTGGAAAGGGCAGAAGACGCTCCGCATCGCGGGAGCACCCGCCACACACCAGCGCTGTGAGGAGGCAGGCACCGCTGCGCACACCCAGGGGAGAAGCGGCGAGCAGCACTCCTACGGGGTCAACGCAGAGGAGGAGGAGGAATCATCCTCCGACGCCCCAACGTGACTGAGATCGAGATCCAGCGCCATTCCCCTCTCTGGGCGATGAGCCCGAGCCTTTTTGACGCGCAGCGCAACCAGCAACGTGTGCTTCTGCAGCATCTTGAGGCGGTGCGAGGTATCATCCAAGAACCTCCGGCGCTGCCCGAAAGAGGCTGCAAAGGGAGAACGGGTCCATGCTCTGACGACCACCTGAGGAGAAGGAATAGAGAGGAATATAGGACCATAATCAGACCCATTCCATGACGTGCACGCGGGTCCAACAAAATAACGTCACGGGGCAGCCATAGCCTCTATTCTGCATGACGCCGCTCGAGTGTACAAGGTCAGAATCCTGCAACAGATATCAACAGCATGTTATTACAACTGACGCACCTGAGCTGGGGCATGCCTTGCTGATAGAAACGCCACTGCGGCATTTTTTGGTCTGGTGTAGCACCTACTCCGCCTGGGCGTACAGATTCGCCCACCTCAATACAGACCCCAGGTGCATCCCTTCAAATCACCCTTACTGGAGATACTCTCTTCGCTGCTGTCATCATGATACATCCTGCCGCGAAGCCACGCATGATGACAGGTGCGCCTACGATACAACTAATCTTGTGATGCTATTCGCGCTTACGTTGGTGCTGAATCTGTGGTCACGTGTCCACTTGCTTGCCCATCGAAAGAAACACCACCCACTTGTTCGCCGAAGGCACGTCACGATCAACAAACTGGTTTGCCAACCGCTGAATGATGACAGCGCATGGCCCGCCCGACATCGATTCGTGCAACCGGGAATGCATGTGGAACTATTTTCGCATAACCCAACGAGTCATCCCTGCGAGTCAAGGGCTCAACGTGTGTGCATGTGTGCGTGTGCTGGGGGCGGCGATAAGGGGCGAATAGCCCAGGGGCGGGCATTACACGCATTCGCCCGAAAGTCTCGCAGAAGACATGGACTATCGGCGCCCCGGGATACACGTGTTGGGGCTACAGTCGGACCTAGGCCGAAGGAGCATCACTCAAGAACACGAGACCCCCCGCCAGCAAAAACAACCAGAACATTATCCAAGGGCACCCTCCCCAAGATGCACAAGAACGTCCAACAAACACGAAGAACTCTAGGGCACCCACCCCGAATCGACCTCGACCTTCTACCTCGGTCCGATTGCACCCGCCCCCCGAGTGTGGGACCCGATGATAAGCAACAAAAGTACCCCCAACCCTTTTGGAGGAGACCTAGGTCGGGAGGGCCAGAACATCCGTGATAGGGGGTCCTTTTTTTCCCTGCAGACGTATCAGACCAAACCGCCCAGGTCTGTTATCCCGAATGCGAAGACTCGGCTACACGCAGGAGTGACCCTGGGTAAGAGTGACCTTTGGTGCGCAGCTTTTTGGGGGCCGCGGGGGGACCAAACACAGGCGCGCAAGGCGCTACTATCGCATCGCGTTCGGCGATCGGGGGGCCCCACTGGGCCCGCACCGAAGGTCACTCCGGCGAAAGGTCACTCCTACGTCTAGTCGAAAGACGGGGACCTCAGAGAGGCCACATCTTCATCGTATCCTTCGGGTTTGGGGCCCTCTCGCTCTCGATGACCCTACGCGCCGCGACCGCATGCTCCCGCGGGCTGCCTTCGCAGCCGCGCACCCCTCACGGGCCGGAGAGCCGCCCGCGATCCGCCGCGAACCCCGGCCAGCCCAGCACCCAGGCCGAGCAGGCCCACCGCCGTCCCCTGGCCTGGCCGCCCGCCCCCGTGGGGGGCTGCCAATGGGGGGGCCCCTGGCCCCGGAGAGCCGCGGTCGTGGCTTCTCCGATGCGGGGCCCCCGGAAGCCTCGACCCGTTCCCGAGGACGGGCTTTCGGCTTTCCTCCCGAAGGAGTCTTTCGGCGGTCCGAGGGCCCCTATAGAGGCCGAAAACCGCGAGCTTCGGCGGTCCGAGGGCCCCTATAGAGGCCGAAAGTCGCGAGAAACCCCCGCCTCGTCTTGCTCGCTGCAGTGGGCCTCTAGGGCCCACGGTGCCCCCAGCCGTTCGCCACGCTTTTCGGAGCTCTCGAGGGCACCGGCAACCCCCGCGCGAGGGGCGCTCTCTCTCTGGAGGCCGCGGCGGCGTCCCCCTTCGGCCAGGGGCGCTGCTGCCCTGACCTTCCGGAGTGCTATTTCTTAGCACTGGAGGCCTAACCCCCCCCCCCAAAAAAAACAACAACTAGCGAGACAGCAATGGGGCCCGAGACCAAACTTCGAGCCGACCGATCCTCCGCGACGACTACAGCCCTGGAGCGGCGGATCTTACGAAGAAAAGGACTACCAGCAAAAGCGAAGATCGAATACGTGCACGCCCTATCGACCTCTGCACTTACGTTCAACCACCACATATGGAACGACCTGACAAACAAGGACAAGAAGTTCATGGAGGTTATGTATGCAGGGCCGTACCGTGTCGCCATGGGACTACCGAAGATCAACTCTCCCACCCTCCACATCACAGCGAGGGAAGTCATTGCACCTACGGGGGTCCCCGACTTTACAACCCACCAGTCAATAGCACGACTTAAATACCTACATCGCCTACCCCAAAGGTCCAAGAGGCTCCCAGGAAGCTCCCATGAGGCCCCAAGAGTGTCCCCAGAGGCTCCGAGGATGCCCCCTCCTCCTCCTTCTCCTCCTCCTCCTCCTCCACCTCCTCCTCCGCATCCTCTTGATCTTCCCCACTATCCTCCCCCAAGTGTTCCCCGAAGGGTTTCCACAACGGTTAGGGGAACACATGGCCCGATACCTTGGCAGAGCTTTTGCCACAACGCTCGGCCACATGGGCTATTCTAGAAGGCGGGGGGCGCCGGTGATTCGCCGTAGGCGTCTTCGATCCGCCGCCCCCTGTTGGCTTGCCACAGGGGTGCCCGGCGTGCTGGATACTTTCGCTTTTGGTTTTGGTTACTTTTCCAAAAGAACTCCCCCTGGGGCTTCGGCCCGTCCCGCCGGCCACGCGGAAGGGCGCATAAAAGTGCAAACAGGTGGTTGCAAAGGGTTTTTCGGCTCCAGACGGCTCCAAGATGGGCTCCAAGATGGCCTCCAAGTTCGCCCAAGATGGTCCAAGATGGCCTCGACGACGGCCCAAGAGAGTCCAGGATGCCTCCAAGTTCGCACAAGAAACACCTAAGACGCCCAAGACGGCCCCAGCGGCTTCCAAGAGGCCTCCAAGACGGCCCAAGAGGCCTCGAAGAGGTCCTCCAGGGTCCTCAAGGACGGCCCGAAGAGGTCAAAATCATTGAGTGCCTTAAATGTTTGAAGGATTTTGGATTTTGCTCCTTTTCGGCCGCCCGACGGCCCAAGACTGCCCAAGAGGCCATCAAGATCGCCCCAAGAGTGCCCAAGAAGCCTCCAAGACGGCCCCAGGACGGCTCAAGAGGCCCCCAAGACGGCCCCAAGAAGGGCCCCAAGATGGCCCAAGAGGTCCCCAAGAAGCCTCAAATGGCCTCCAAGACTGCAAAGATGGCCTCCAAGATGCCTCCAAGACGGGCAAGACGGCCTCAAAGACAACCAAGATGGCCCCAAGATGCACCCGAGACGGCCCCAGATGGCCTCAAGATGACCTAAAACTGCCCAAAAGGCCCGCAAGAGGCCTCCAAGACGGCCCAAGAGCCCTCCAAGACGTCCTCCAGGAAGGCCCGACATGGTTGAAATCATTGATGTTCCCAATGTGTTTGAAGGATTTGGGCATTTTCTTCTGTTCAGCTCTCCGACGGCCCAAGACGGCCCCCAACATCGACCCAAGAGGGCCCAAGAGGCCTCCAAGATGGCCCCATGACAACCCAAGAGGCTCCCAGGGCGGCCCCAATAAGGCACCAACACGGCCCAAGAGGCCCCCAAGACGCCCAAGATGGCCTCCAAGACGACCAAGATAGCCTCCAAGACGGCCAAGAGGGCCTCCAAGACTGGCAAGATGGCCTCCAAGACAGCCAAGATGGCCCCAAGATGCACCCAAGACGGCCCCATATTATCTGTAAGACTGCCCAAAAGGCCCGCAAGAGGCCTCCAAGACGGCCCAAGAGCCCTCCAAGACGTCCTCCAGGAAGGCGCGCAAGGGCCAAAATCATTGATTTTCCCAAAGTGTTCGAAGGATTGTGGCATTTTCGTCTGTTCAGCTCTCCGACGGCACAAGACGGCCCAAGCGGCCCCCAACATCGACCCAAGAGGGCCCGAGAGGCCTCCAAGATGGCCCCCATGACAGCCCAAGAGGCCCCCAAGACGGCCCCAAGAAGACCCCAACACGGCCCAAGAGGCCCTCAAGACGCCCAGGGTGGCCTCCAAGACGGCCAAGATGGCCTCCAAGATGCCTCCAAGACGGCCAAGAAGGCCTGCAAGACAGCCAAGATGGCCCCAAGATGCACCCGAGACGGCCCCAGATGGCCTCGAGATGACCTAAAACTGCCCAAAAGGCCCGCCAGAGGCATCCAAAACGGCCCAAGACCCATCCAAGACGTCCTCCAGGAGGCCTGAAAGCTCGGAAACTGGTCCGATATCTCGCCCGACCCGGTGTTCCCCGAAGGCCTTCGAAACCCACTCGGGGAACGCGTGGCCCGATGTCTTGGCCAAGCTCAAACCCAACTTTCGGCAACGCGGGCGCTTCCAAAAAGGCAGGGGGATGGCGGTGATTCGCCGTAAGCGTCTTCGATAACGTATAACCCAGTGCGCCGAACCCCGTGGGGAGAACCCTGAGTGCGAAGCCACCCACGTGAAGCCAGGGGGACCCGGCAGCCACCAGACAGTGCGGCAGCGGCGACAGGTCCAGTTCTCTTGAGACCAAAGAGAGTCGCACTCAGTGTGGTAAGTGACCGGGTGGTCTTCGGGAGTGGCTGGCGGAGGGGGTGGGGAGGACACGGGGGAGGAGCGGGAGGACGAGGAGGGGGAGGCGACAGTACGACGAGGAGGACGAGGCTGATGAGAGGAGGAGGACGAAGACACGGAGGACAAGCAGGACGGGGATGAGGAGGACGAGGGGGATGAGGAGGACGACGAGGAGAAAGTTCGAGGAGAAGAGCTCCACCCTCTCGTGCCATCCTCGCAGGGCTTGGCAAGGTGCGCGCCTCGACGTCAGGTTCAGGAGCGCGGCGTCTGGAAGCGTCGCGGCCGCCGCCACAAAGTTGTCGGTCTCCCGGTTGGTGCTGTCCAGAAACTTCGTCACCCACTCCTCACGGCCGACGCCGCGACTCTTGGCGGACGGAGCTCGGTACAAACCGAAAAGATATGCCAACGTGGAACAGAAGGGCTAACTGCGCAATCAGATTATGCAAATCCGGTGCCGGGATCATTGACAGACAGAACGCAATACAAGAAAAGCTGTCCGCCGTATGGCGGGGACGCCTCTTCCTTCCAGAACGCTTGGGACTTTGAACCTCAAGGACCACCATCCATATGGCGATCAGAGGGGGGGGCGAACCGCCTGCACCGCGATATACATGTCGGTGTGCCTTTCGACTTTCATGTCAAATTGCGTATCGTTGCCAATCGAATTTGAACCTCAGTGTGGATGACGATATGCATTTCGACTAGCGCTGCATGCGCATGTCAGTTTTCATCCAATTCATTGCGACTTGGGTACTGATGCTTACTCCCCCAGCAGTGCTTGCACTCTGGGTCTCTAACTTCCGCTCCAAAAAGAATATGGGCGTGTGTGGCGGTCTGGCGACTATGCCGTCGCCGTCGCCGCCCCGTCGCTGCCCCGTCGCCGCCCGTAGTCTGGGCCCGGATAGCGGTCTGGCGGCTATGTTGACGCCGTCGCCGCCCCGTCGCCGCCGCGTCGCCGCCCGTCGCCTGGGCCCGTGTGGCGGTCTGGCAGCAATGTTGTCAACATCGCTGCCCCGTCGCCGCCCCGTCGTCGCCCGTCGTCTGGGACTGCCTTGCTTAGCATTGCTTTGTATTGCCATGCCGTGCTTCGCATTGCATTGTATTGCATTGCTTCGCAATGCTTCGAATTGTTCTGCATTGAAAAGCCGTGGTTTGCATTGGTCCGAGTTGCTTTCCATTGCTTTGCATTGCCTTTGAATCGAAATGCTTTGCATCGCCCTGCATTGTTTGTATTGCATTGCAAAAGGTATGTGGCACCACATAGATTGCACTACCTAGATTGCACTAGATAGATTGCACAGCAAATATTGCACCACATAGTTTGCACTTCATCTCACAGAGTTCACCTTGTCGGTCACGCCAAATCGACTGCACCACATACATTGCTCAACATCGAATGCACCTCACAATTCCTAACACATGTATGTCACCACTTTTGTTAGTAATATACCACGAACGCATCCCCGAATGCGTCCACGCTGACGGTTCTGGTAACCACCGCAGCAACCTACCGTATACAATGTATCACATCGGTTCCCTTTCCTGAAACAAACATAAATTCTACCCTCCCCCTCTGGGATTAGCAGCACCCTTTTTTTGGCGTAGTGCAACTTACATATGATCCTGCCCCATCGTCCTTCCTAGACATGAACTCACACCATCCCAAGCAGGTACGGATCGACATCCCCCGCCATCTGTTGCAACAAATGCTATGCGCGCAAACTTGTTCATGAACACTTAACGGGTTCCAGCAATACCGTGCAAGATACGGGACGATGTGCACACGCGCGCGTTGTCGCGCGCGCGTGCCGAAATCCTGCACAAACCTTCGGTTTCGTAGGGTTTCAAAATCGAGTGTCAAACGGAACGTTTGCTGAACATGCTGCCAAACAGGCTTCGCGCGCGCATGTCGAAATCGTACGAACGTCCTTTTCGCGCGTGCTGTCGCGAGAATCCTTTGCAACAAATGCGACGAAGTGCACGCACGCGCGCCGTCACGCGCGCATGCCAATATCTCTTAACAACCGTCGACGTCGAAATGCTTTCAAAACCGAATGTACAAAAAAAACGCAACAACAAAAAACAAATGGTTTCGCAACATCAGTTTTCGCAAAGAACGACGTTCGCTCTCTTGCGAATTCTCAGAACCATCGGTTTTCCAACATGCTTCGCGCGCGCATGTCGAAATCGTACAAACGCCCTTTTCGCGCGTGCCGTCGCGAGAATATTTTGCAACATATGGGACGAAATGCACGCGCGCGCGTCGTCGCGCGCGCATGCCGACATTGCTCAACAAACGTCGGTGTGGCAATGATCTTTAAAATGAGTGTTCACAAAACTCTACAAAACACACGTGTTCGCAACATCTGTTTTCAAAAAGAAGGGCGCTCGCTCTCGTGCGAATTCTCAAGCAAGCCATCGATTTTTCAATATCAAATTCTGCCAAACGAACGACTCGTGCCGTATGTCGAAAAATCATTCGCGAGCCCTTGCGCGCGTGTTGGGGGGGCAAAATCCGTTTAGAAAAAATACTATACCGGCCACTCTCGCGCGTCGGCCGCGCGCACACGCCGAACCCTTTCCAAAACCTTCATCACCGACGCGAGGACGACGTCATCGTCGTCGGCGTGATCAGCATCGGCGCTGTCACCGGCCGTGCCGTCGCCGCTGTCATCATCGTCACCAGCACTGCTACTATCATCATCATGTCTACCGTTGTCGACGTTGCCATTATACCGCGCCCGTCCAAGCCGCCGACTCGCAAATAAGTGCCCGCTGGGATGTGCCCAGCGGTCACCGCCACCGCGGCCGCGTCGGTCGCGCCAAACTGGCTGGCCGCTGCGCACGCGGGCGTGGGCGGGCTGACGCGGCCTCAGAGATGCACTAGCCAACGCGAAGCACTTATCGCAGACGCCGCCGCACGGGTTTTGCAAACCAAGTTGCGGGTGGGTGGGTGGGATGATTGCGCGAGGAGTGGAGTGGACAACTTACTGCGAACGGAACTTAATTCACGACTCTACCCGCCCCCCCGGGATTACCGACACCCCTTTTCGTATTGCAATATACATATGATACTGCCCCGTCGCCCATCCTCAATATGAACTCGCACTATCCAGGCCGGGGCCGGTATCCGCCCCCCCCGCCATCCGACGCCCCCAAAAAAACGAGAACACTCGTTTATAAACAAATCATCAGATTTCAACAATCCCGTGGAAAAATGTGACGCTGTGCACACGCGCGCGTTGTCGCGCGCGCATGCCGAAATCCTTCAAACATTCTTGGTTTCCTCAGGATTCTAAAATCGAGTGCCCAGTATATACATATATATATAGTTTCGCAACACGGATGTTCAACAAAAGTGTGCGCGCGCGCCCTTGTGAAATCTTCAGGGGAAAAACCACCGGTTTCTCACACTTTTCAGAACATGCTACTAGACGGGCTTCGCGCGCGCATGTCGAAATGGTTCGAACGCCCTTGCGTGCGTGCTGTCGCGAGAATTCTCTGCAAAATCTAAAACGAAGTGCACATTCGCGCGTCGTCGCGCGCGCATGCCACGAAACCTCTGGTTTAGTAGCGAGTTCAAGACCGAGTGTCCAACACACATAAACAACATAGTTTCGAAGCGTTAATTTTCAAAAAAGCGTGCACTCGCGCCATTGCGAAGTCTTAAGGAAGCCAGACGTTCTCGACATGTCCATGGGACTCTGCCAAGCGGGCCTCTGGCGCCGCATGCCGACATCATTCGCGAGCCCTTGCGCGCGCTGGGGGGGGGGGGGGGGCACGATCCGTCAAATAATACCATGCGAGCCACTCTCGCGCGTCGGCCGCGCGCGCATGTCGAACTCTTCCAACAACCTCCGTCACCGACGCAAGGACGCCGCCATCGCCGTCGGCTTGAACAGCGTCAGCGCCGTCACTGGCCGCGCCGTCGTCGTTGTCAACATCGTCACCAGCACCGCTACTGTCATCATCGTGACTACCGTTGTCGACGTTGCCATGATACCGCGCCCGCCCAACTCGCCGACTCACAATGAAGTGCCCGCTGGGATGTGCCTAGCGGTCAGCGCCACCGCGGCCGCGACGGCCGCGTCAAACTGGCTGGCCGCTGCGCGCGCGTGCTTGGGTCGGCGCGGCCGCAGAGATGCACCAGCCAACGCCAAGCATACATCGCAATCGCCAGCGAATGGGTTTTGCAAGCCAAATTGCGGGTGGGTGGGTGGGATGTTTGCAAGAGCATGGGATGTGTCAACTCGTGTGTGAAAACCAGTTGCACCACGTAGATTGCACCGAATAGATGACTGAACATAAATTCACCACATTCGCACCCGTGCCGCTGGGCTCGGAGTGGGCGTGTCCTCTGGTCCTTTGCCTGATCCTCTGGGCCCCACTCCTCCTGAGGACCCGGGCTCCTCGCTCTCATATCTCCTTGGGCTTCCCGCGTCCCTGGGGTATCCCGCGTGCCCCCTGGGCTTTGCCAAGGGCCAAGTGGTGGCGCGTGACTTTTTCGAGCCCAAGAGGGCCCCAAGACTGGCCGAGAGAACCTCGAGAGGTCCCCCAAGACGGTCCAAGAGGGCTTGGAGTGGCCGAGCGCTCGCCAGAAGACGCTCCAGATGGCCCCCAGACGGCCCAAGATGCCTCCAAGACGCCCCAAGAGGCCTCCAAGAGGCCCCCACGAAGCCAAAATCACATTTGTTCCGGAGGTTATTAAGGAGTTTGGCGTTCTCGCCGTTGCGGCTTCCCGACGCTCCCAGACGGCCCTAGAGGCTCCCAAGACCGCTCCAAGACGGACTAAGAGGCCTCCCTGAGGCCCCAAAACAGTCCAAGAGGGCCCCAAGACGGCCCAAGAGGAACCCATGACGGTCCAAGAGGAACCCATGAAGGCCCCAAAAGGGGCCCAAGTGAGGGAACACGAACCGAAAAATATCGTGTTCCAGATCAAGAGGCCCCCAGGAGGCCCCAAGAGGCGCCCAGGAGGCCCCAGAGGCCCAAAGGGGCCCCCAAGAGGCCCCAAGAGGCACCACAACGGCCCCAAAGAGGCCTCCAAACTGCCTCCAACAGGCCCGAGAGGCCTCCCACGAGATCCCAACGAACATCCAATATCCTCCACAACCCAGGCACGGTGGAGGGCTGGGCCGAAGGCCATTAGATAGATCGCACCACATAGATTGCACAACATAGATTGAGCCTCGCATGTTGCACCACATAGATTGCATTATAGAGATTGCCCCACATACACTGCACCACATAGACCACACCTCATAGATAGATACACCTATATTGCACAACATAGAGTGCACGCTTCAGTGCTGCACCACATAGATTGCTCCGCATCGTGGATTGCAC